GGGGGGTAGAGGGGAGACCAGACCGAGTCGTTTCCCAGATTCATCTAGCGTCCTCTCTCTGGAAGAGCTTCCTGATATCTCTTAGGCTTGGTTTGGTCAAGGAGTATTGCTGACGCTTTTTAAAAACCCACTTTTGAACAAACACGCGAGCTGGAAAGAACACAAACACCTTCATTCAAGTTAGAAAAGTACGAAGGCTGATGGAGTGTCGTCTACGATTCTGAGCACGCGCCAGGCTTTCTCCTAGGCGAATGCAGCAGCAGCTGAGACTCGTTCGCCCAGCCCAGCTCAGCTCAGTGTGGGACTCAAGGATCTGTCCCTGAGACACAGGGAGAGACCCACAGCAGGGGGAGGGGAGCTGATGTGCTGGGGGGTGTTTGGGGGGGGCGAGAATCCACTTCTTTTTAGCAGCCTTTCCTGCTCCCCCTTCGAGAGCCCTGCTGGGGCGTACCTCCAAGGTGACCCACTTGTTACAAAAGGAGGCCCCGGACTCTAGAAACCAGAATTTTGCCACGGGAATGCTGTCATCACCCACACGGACGAGCGGAAGCTACAGACAGAGCGCCACTACGGATGGTGCCCGGGACAGAGGTGAGGACGGCCCAGAGCTCTGCCTCCGGTACGGGTGCCGGGCTCACGGGACTTAGCTGGGTGCCCTCACCAGACCCCTCCTCGGCCTCCGCCTCCGCCTCCGCGGCCGCCGGCGGCTCCTGCATCTCTTCTGGGAAAGCCTGAGGCCGGCTCGGGTAACTTCTGCCGCCTGAGACAGTCACGCATGCTCGGGACCTCTCACCTGAGGTCTCTGGGCGCTGCACTGGCGTGGAGGTAGCTAGGCCCCGGGGGGAAATGTGGTCACCTGTGTCGTCTTCCTCAAAGTCGTTAAGGCAGTACACTTCATCCACGTCGACATCCAGCGTCCGGAAGCCCTTGGTGACCACCCCGGGCCGGGGGTCCAGGATGCCCCCGAGGTGAGGCTGGGCCAGCTGCTGCCAGTGGTGAAGGGTGGCGGAACCTGCGGGAGGGAGGGCGGACAAGGGGCGGGGAAGAGAGAGGGTTAGGATGGACGTCCAAGCTGACGGCCGCTCGCCACCCTCCGGGCACCCGGCGGGACGTGACCTCCGCGGTAGATGGACCCTGGCGGGGACACGGGTGGCACTGCCTCCCCCTCCTGCTCCACCACAGCAGCTAATACACACCATGCCCGTCGGAGGCACCAGCTTAAGGAATAAAAAATAAAATTTTTTTAAGTAAAATTCATGCCATACTGTGTGCCAAGGGTGTTTGGGACAAATGCTTTATTTTAAATCGACTGATGTCAACCCCCAAATCCAACACCACAACACTTCAGGAAAAGAGGGAATAAAATAAGCAAAACAGGCACAAGGTGGGGGCGGGTGGGGGTGGGGGCAACGCGTCCTGATTCTATGTCACGTGCACACTGCTGGGAACAGGGGGACACAGCAGAGGCAGGCTGGGACAATGTCGAGCCAAGCCAGGGGCCTCAAGAAGAGAAAAGCAGAAAGGAAACTGCAGTAGCAGAGACGAGCAGTGGGCTAGCCCCGGCCTCCTTCACTTCGGTGCTCTGCATCTGCCAGCGACCTCGCCGCGCTCCAGGTTTAGGGATGGGGACCGGCCTACAGCGGGGTGACTGAAGGACACGGTAAGTCTTCACAGAGTCCTGAGGCAGAGGAGCCGATCTCCTGGGTGACACCGGACCCTGGGACTCAGGTGACATCATGCAAGGTCTGTAATAACACCAGCGTGTGTCCCCGAGGACCTGAGGGTGCCACAGGCGCTCACAAAGAGAAGTGTTCCAAGACCAAGCGCGCTTAGGACGCCTGGGTTAAGAGGTGTCTTTCTGGAGGACCATCTCGGGACCTTCAGTGCGCTGCTCGGTGCTGCGATTCTGCCCACAGCCCCCTTCCCCTCGGAGCACCAGCTACACCTCACGTGGCCCGGGAGGCTGGCATGCCAGCCTCACTCTCCAGGTGAAGTTAACCACAGAAATAAATACTCTACACTCAGGACAGACTTTGAGAGGGTCTCGGGCACAGGAAAGCAAGATTCTTCAGCACACGTGGCCTCCCAGACGGTCACTGCTGATTTACCAATGGTGTCCTCTTTTGGGTGGGCAAGGCCCCCTCCAGGCAACTAGGCAGCCCCATCAGAAAGGGGAAGCCAGGGATGCCCAGAGCCAGTAGCTCAGGAAGGCAACCAGGCATCTGACCGAGAAGCAGGGAACCCTTGCTCATCAATCAGGGGCTCCTGACCCTCAGGGGTGCCCAGCGAGGGCACCGCCTCTCATCACAGCTGGAAAGTGACTTTCCTACGGGGCAATCTCAGCCAAGGAGCCATGAAAGAATTTCGTAAATGGGCAATTTCAAATCTACTTAAGAGAGAAAAAATCGTCCCCACCGCACCGCCTGTCTTGTTTAGAAGACTTCCTGGACCCCTGCTTGCGTTCTGTCCAGTTTTAAGTATACACAGTTCAATAGCAGCCTACTTAACGGGAATCTACTGAATATAAACAGAAAATAATATTTCTTCTCTTGCAGAAAAGAAATAACATTAAAAAAAAAAAAAAGATGCCTATAATGACAGAGGACACCACACATCTGTTCTCTCACTAGGTGATAAGACACTTAGAGCAGTGGTTCTCAACTGGAGGTGATTCTGCCCCCCAGGGGACACTCCGTAATGTCTGGAGGCATTTTTGGCTGTCACAGCTGTGGAGGAATACGGAATACTAACAGCATTTAATGGGTAAAGCCGGAGGTGCTGTTACCCATCCTACAACGCACAGGACAGCCCCCACGACAAAGGGCGATCTGGCCCCAATGCCAACGGTGCCGATGGGAAACCCTGACCTCTGGCTGTGGCTCTTCATTCTCAGATCCTTTGGGAATCTGAAGGCAGCCATGGACCCTCTCCCCAAAGGGATCTCACGTGTAAGCATCACCGTGCATGAATGGCCAGGGCTCCACACACGCGCTGAGACCTGTTGGCGGGATCCTGAGTCCCAGGTGCCGCAGCATCGTGGTTTACGAAGAGCTACGCGCACTGAGGCATGCCTGCGTGGCAGAGTTTACAGGCGTGACATCCACTCAGTCCTCAGACCAACCAATGAGGTTATGTATTATTGCCCATACTTCACATATGAGGGGACTGAGGCTCGATGAAGTGACGTGGCTTTGTACAGTCACTGAATCAGTGGTGGCATCGCCAGGGTTTAGTGCTAAAGGCCAGGTTCTTTTAGTAATCTCCGGCCACCTCCCAAAACCCACGGATCTGAAAACAAGCAAGGACATCAGTGCTCCAGCCAGTGAGAAGCATAAACAGTGGTAGAAAAACTTCCAGGTGGGTGTCCAGGGCCCACCAGGAGACACGCGTACTTCTGCTGATGGGATTTCTCATGCCCCCCACCCTGGGACCCCCACAATAGCCTCCTGTTCATGCGTTCGTTGGAGGCATGGGCACATTCCTGGCAACAAAAGCACATGGGGAGAAGCCTTCAACAGGAATAGGACCTCGCGCTCGGGACTGCACATACGGGCCTTAGAAGGGTGATGAGAGATCCCCGGGTACAACGTGGCCACGGCTCCTCTACCCCTGGAAGGGGCAGAATGGGAAAGTGGACACTGTCAAGGGCGGGCCCAATCTCACCATGCTTCTGAAGGGGCCCGAGATGTTTGCAATGCACTGGGAAAGAACTCGGTGAGGCTGGGGGACGGGCCCAGAGTCCCTGCACCTCAATCCTCCTGTTCAACAGACCGTTCCTGCCCCCTCCGCGCCCCCGGCCAATGCACGAGCTCCAGAGAGAAAGGAGGCTACAAAGGGCCTGTTTTTGGAGTTAAAGAGGCTACAGAAGTGCATGGGGTTATTTGCGTTCCCTGACAATGCACAGCCGAGGAAACTGGGTGACATTACAAAGGAAAGATTATGCTGAAAGATGCATGGACTTGGATTTTTCACCCCACGCCTCGGGCCTCCCTCACTCATAGAAGGACAGCTAGCTTTTACTGAGCACTTACTAAGTGCCAGGCACTCTCCTGAGGTGTACATTTATTAACTCACTTAATTGTCACAGTAACACTGTTGTCCCCATTTCACAGATGAGGAAACTGAGCACAGGGAGGTAAAGTAACTCGACAGAGGCCGCACAGCCGGCAAGTGGCCAAGCGGCTCCAGTGCCCACCCCTGAACCACACAGGCTGCCTCTCAGCCAGCGGCGAGGAGGCCTCTCATTTGTGAGTCTCAAGAACCAGGTCAGTAACTCACCCAAATGGCAGTTCTAAGAACCCATGGACGACGTTAAGTGAGGACTGGCTGTACCACTGGCTACCTCCCACTACCACCCCCCTCCCACCCCGTGACAATCAGGCTGTGGTCAGGCAACGGGGAGGGAAGAGAGGAACCTCCATGCTTCTCGTTGGCACCAAGATGAAATTCTATGAAACAAGGGCATGAACAGCACAGAAAACATACTTATGGGTCCCTGTCCCTCTGTCTGCCTTTCTTCCACGCCCCACATCTAAAAAGTATTCACATCATTGGACAAGAAAAACAAATCCATTTATGTCAGAGGAGGGCCTGGGGCCTAAAAGTGAGAGCTAACCCTGCTGGGCAACGTACAGCTTAGAAGTGTATGCTTTCCCCCAATTACATATTACCTTGTTTATTTGGAAATACTACCCTGGTTGTAATTAATCAAAAAGGAAGAGCAAAATTCGGGGGGGGGGAGGAATACCACCTAAATCATCTTTTCAATGCACATCTCTCTCTTCTAGTCTGAATGTTTTGCTGGCCCTCCACCCGCTCAGAGCACGGGGGTGAGCAGGAGGAACGGGGGGGAGGGGGGCCGACGATGACGACTGGCATTCTAAACGCCTGCCGGCCATGCAGCCGCCTCCAACAAGCAGGTGGCGAGACGAGTCAAACAGGTAGGGAGGCACCGATGGAGGACACGGATCGCCATCTGCTGTGATCCCAGCCAACGTGCTCCAGGGGCCTCCCCTCAGGTACATTTACCTGGGTCACTGGGGATCCCTGGAATCCTATCAGCTTCTTAGTGGGCCACTGGAAAGAGATGACGTAAGTACATGGCCCCAGCACAGTGCTGGTCCAGGTAGGTCTCAACCCTGATAAGGCCGCCTTTAGACCTGAGCTGCTGGAACTTTTGAGGAGCCTAAGTTTTAAGGAGCACCAGTTAGGTGCCGGGCGTAATACAAAACACATCACACTCACTCTTCTCTTCATCACAGTATCGTGTGGCAGATGTGAGCCCTATTTCACAAAGGGAAAGAGGGGTCAACAAGGTGAGGTAACTTATCCAAGGCCACAGTCAGAGCTGCACCGAACCTGGTGTTGCGTAGATTTCCACGCTAGCAGTAAACCTTTGCAAAGTAAACATGGTAACACAAAACATAATTGTGGAGGGGAGGAAGAAATAAAATACTGGTTATATTTTAAACAACTAAAAAGTCCAAGAGCTGCGAAATGGAGCCAGAGGGACTTCGATTATGAGGATGCATCACAGGCCATAGTGATTAAGAGACGACTTCTTAACAGTGATTTAGCCCTCTGGTGATCAGGGTACTACAAATGAAATTTATCTTGCAAATCTAAAAGGATTTCCTCCTAATCCATTAACATATCACAAAAATACTGCTACCTAAGTCACAAGATTAAAAGAAAAAAAGGGTCTATTGGTCATATTAAAAAAAAAAAAAATCTTCCTGCAATAACGATTGGAAAATGGATCCAAAAACATATTCTTAGATGAGCTAATGAAACACAAAGTCAAATATAGAAAGCAGACAAGATAGAGATGATAAATTCCAATGATCTTTGAGAAACAAAAGGGAAAAAAGAAAAGAAAGGCATAAAGTAAAATTGCAGAAATGGGAGATTTTATTGAAAGAAAAAACAGACATAATCATGGTTCAGAAAACAATCACCAAGCTTACAACTAAATAAACATGAAAAAAAAAAAAAAAAAATGAGCCGTCCCTTTTCTGAAATCTAAGGACCTAAATTATACAATTAAAAAATAATCATGAACAAAAGAATATAACCCACCCACTTCCTTCCTTTGGAGAATATGGAACCCAGCTTGTCCTGGGTCTTTAACAAGCACAACCTCATCTTATAGCAGGAATTCTCCACGGGGGAGACACTGCTCCCTAGGGGTTGAAGATGGGTTCTTGGGGGAGTGAAAAGAATCTACTCTTCTTAAGCACAGAGCATAGATATACATATAGTACATAAACAGTATATCTGTGGTATTCCATTTTCAGGGGGAATAAATATCTAAAACAGCTCCTTCAAGGGGGCAATAATTTTTTAAAAGTTGAGAAATACTGCCTTACAGAAATTCTGATTTGGCTTTAATACAGAATTCGAAAACACCTTCTCCAATTCACATAGGTTTCCAAACTCAAGGAGTAAAAAAATGAAAAATACAAACATGTGGTGGGGCAGTGGTAGGTAAAGGCAGGCATCCTATAACGCCAGAGGGAGAAGAAAGAAAAAGAGGTACATGTTTCCATGAGCTTCAATATCTGGGGTGTCCCTGGCAGTAGAAAGGGAACTCCCCCTGGAAAAGGAGGGATTAAGAAGGCATAGAACTCACTGGCCTCCACAGCCACCCCCGGCCTGGCCCCCAAATAGTGGGGGTCTGGGAGCCTTGCTCAGAACGCGGCATAGGAAGGAAGCCACACTCCTCATCTGAAGATCCAAGCAGAACAAGTGAGCTGACAGACTGTGAAGACAAACTGCAAATCCCTTTCATGTGGTTACTGAGAAAACTTACAGCGTTGGCTTTGCACCCCTCCCTCCCTGACACCAAAATTTCTGAGAAGTCAGAGCATTAATTCCTGGGCAGGGCCTAAGGAATTTCTGAGTACGTGAGCAGTGCCTCTGGCCCTCGAAAAGATTTGTACTTCTAAGGACCTAAATGCAAGAGAGAGCTAGAAAGCCAACGCCTGTCTGCATGTTCTTTCCCTTGGCTTCCTGGCCGAGGTTAGTGGCGGGTGCCCGTGTTTCCAAACCTGCAGGGGGAGCTGGGGGCCTAGGCAGAGCCCCTCAGCGGAACTCAAACCAGCAGCACGGGTGGCTATCCCTGAAGAAAAAGGAGTAGGTGTGACAGACACTCCCTGCAGGCTGGTGGTGGATCAGAGCCCACAGGGAGTCACCGAGGAGGGCAGAGAGGGGCCGGGGGCCCTGGTGATCACCTTCCAGCGGCTTCACGATCTGGAGTTTCTCGGGCAGGTAGGAGCGGCTGCTGAAGGACATGCCCGAGAAGCCGGTGAACTCGGAGAAGCGGGAGTGCGTGCCCAGGGACATGATGCTCTCCGTGGGCGTGAGGGAGCCGCTGAGCAGCTCGCCCTTCTCCGCCAGCTCCCTGAGCTTCCTCTCCTGCTCCTCCTCGAAGAACCTCCTCTCCGACAAGTAGTTTTCCCGCCGGAGGGACAGCCTCCTCAGCGCCGTCTCCAGGTCGTGGGAGCCTGGGGTGCCCGGTGTACCCGGCTTCTTACTCTGCTCATTTCTGAAAGAAGGGGGGACAGGGTGAGTGTGGAACACCCAGCAGGGGGCGCTGTAGAACACACAATGAGGCCTTGCTGCTGAATGTCCAGGGGTGGCTACAGGGTTTTCTAAGGAAGCCAAGACAAGCCACTGAGATGTAGGCAAATATGGGTAAACAAATGCCTATTCTGAAGAACTAATTCCCTCTGTTGGTTTGTTTTTTGGGGGAGGGAGTTGAGGGGGAGGAGAGGGAAGAAAGCACTCAGGCAGAATGAAAATTTGCACACACGACGTAAAATCCAGTCCCTATAAACACCTCCCTTAGAAAGATGCCTTCTTCAGCTGTGGTTCCTAGTTATAGGAAGGGCAGCAGGCTCAAGGGATGCTTCACTATCTTCTTGAATTTAAGGAGCTGAAAGCTCCAAACTTCTGGTCAAGCAGTTTTCCAATGGTCTAACCCCACTGGTCAGAAAAACCATTTTTTATTAAGTCTCAGGAAGAGTGTGCACAAAGTAGACAATGTTGGGGGTTGCTTGAAAGGGCTTCAGGATGGAGAGGGAACGAGCACTGCTGAGGAAGGCTCACCACAGGGACACTCAGTGTGGCGGACACCTGTGGGGTACCCTGCACCCCACCTTCTGAAGCAAACCCGATTCTGGTCACAAGATAGAGCCTGAGGCCTCCTCAACCTTTCAAACATCCCAGCCATAGAAGGATTCATGAAAAAAAGTCTATCCTGTAGCCTTGACAGTGAAGATTAACAGAAACATTCACTTCTCCTCCCCTTCAGGATTTTGCAGAAAAGCAGACTTCCTGCTGCACCCTGTAATACCTCTTTAAACTGGTTAAAATATCAGTATCAAGGATAAGACTGGCCTCAGAGGGTTGGTGAAACACATTTGAGAACTGAAGGGTCTGTATTTTTCAGGCAATTCTTACTGGTCTCCCTCTTCTGCTTACTGAACCTGTGTTCAATCCACACCACCTCTCTCCAAAACAGAAAGGTAAAAACTCCTGGCTGGCTCACCCCAGGTTTGTTGACTCTGCTTCCAGGATGATGCTGTTGGTCTTGTTGTCCAGGACGACGTTGCCAACGTCGCTGCCGTAGAAGCTGGACCGGGGGGTGCTGACACAGCTGGACAGGAGGGAGTTCATGGCCGAGGACTGGTTGGAGCCAGGGATGTTCATGGGGGAGGGCGTCAGAGACCTCTGCTTGACGACCTGGTTGATGTTTCTCACGGTCTCGAAGACGCGCTTCTGGTGACTGGGGAGAATGTACATTATCATCCATGAATAAGCAAGTGTAGGAATGGCCCTGGAGTTAAACCCTCCAAAAACTGTCAACTGAGAAGCCAAAAAGGTAGCTAGCCCACGTGAGTGCCCAAGCAACCTGCCATCCTGTGCCTTCCATGTGTTTCTCAGGGTGTTGGTTAGAATTCAGAAGACTCGCCAACTCCTGAATTCAGGGCTTGTGCCCTAAAAGGGATGCCAGCAGGAGTGATACTGCTTTACACCTCTCTTAAGCTTGACCTACAAATAAAAAGTACTTAAGTAGTGCTCTGTTTCCCAGCTAGCTTTCATTTTTCATGGTAGTCACTAGAATATAAACTCCAGGAGGGCAGTGTTCACTGCTCAGCACATAAAAGGGCTCAGAAAATATAGATCGAGTACTTCTTGACTGTTCATATAGTTACATGCTGCTCAACGAATTTTGAAAAATGTGTCATGCTCGGCCGGGTGTGGCTCAGCGGTTGAGCGTCGACCTAGGATCCAGGCGATCGGGGTTTGGTTCCCGGTCGGGGCACATGCCCGGGTTGCGGGCTGCCGATCAATGACTCTCTCATCATTGATGTTTCCATCTCTCTCTCTCCCTCTCCTTTCCTCTCTCTGAAATCAATAAAGATATATAAAAAAAAATAGTTTAAAAAAAAAGAAAAATGTGTCGTTATGCAATTTTGTCACTCTGTGAACATCACAGAGTGCACTTACACAAACCTAGATGGTAGAGCCTATTGCTCCTAGGCTACAGACACAGCATGCTATGAGATTAAAATCAAGCACAAGAGAAAAATGCAATCAAGGGATACAGTAAACCTGGGGTATATGAGGCTGCTGCCGGCATTACATGGCATACTGTTTTACAGCAAACTTTTTTAAAAATAGGAAGAGCACACTCTAAAAAATGATAAAAAGTATAATAAATACATAAACCAGTAACCTAGTCATCTATTTTCACTATCAAGTATCACATACTGTACAGAATTGTATGTGATACACTTTCTACGACTGGCAGCGCAGTAGGTCTGTTTACGCCAGCATCAGCACAAGCGTAATGCACTGTGTTATATTATGACAGCTATGATGTCACTAGGGGGTAGGAATTTTCAGCATTATAATCTTATGGGACCACTGTCATATGTGTGGTCCATCATTGACCGAAATGTCGTCACGTGGCACATGACTGTGTGTAATAAAACCAAGACTTAAAGTTAGTCTTAAACTTCTGAGACGATAAACGCCAGATTAGTCTGTTTTTAGAAACTGCTCATTTCTAAGAGCAGAGCCACAAATTTTGACGCTCATTTGTTCCTTTTTAAGAAGGAAAAGGCACGTGTCTGTAAAGGACACTTCTTTCTGGGATGGGGCTTCACACAGCACCGAGGCCCAGGGACAATGGTCACTCCCAGGCTCCCTCTTGGTTCTGTCTAGGAGGATTTGGTACACAGAAATTGCAATGAAATCGGATCCACAGGTTCCTCATGAACACTCCAGGGCAGGCCAACCTCAAGGTCTCAAATAGGAAGAAAGATGGCAGAAGCCAGCCCTAAACAGAGCCAGAGGGAAATGGACACCTTGCTCACACCCCCGAAGAGCCTTCTGTATCTCACATTCTTTTTTTTCTCCCTAAAAGGTATTAAAAATTTTTTATATGTTTTTCACTGAGAGGAAAGATTAAAAATGAATGGTGGTATCAAGATGGGGTTTGTGTTAAGAGAGATGGAAAATACATCTCTTCTCTCCCAACTTCCTAGAAGTTCATAAATATATTTAAAAACAAGAGGAGCTGGGGGATATTGTCAGCTGTGTTCTTATTTCCTTAGTCTGTGGAAGGACCACAGTGATCACTGTTGATGCCTGAGGCCCAAACATTGCTTGTTTTGATCCCCATGGGTCACCACGAGGTCTCTCTAGGAAGCTCAGAAATAAGGCCATACGCGATGTCCGGTGACNCGGGTCACCACAAGGTCTCTCTAGGAAGCTCAGAAATAAGGCCATACGCGATGTCCGGTGACTCGGGCTCTTCCAACTGTAGCTCCTTCCGCATTGTCCCCTCGATCTCGGCTGCCAAGGAGTCCTGGGAGAAGCCAGAAGACACACAAGTGAGCAGCAACTCAAACACTCTACATCTAAAAGAGGCATGTGCTCAGGCTAGCCACAGAAGGGTACCACTGAGGCCTCAAAGCCCGCAGACTTCCCACAACACAAAGTTGAGAGCATTTGCCATTGTCAGAGAGCCTGGCTGAGCAACCCCCAGGCAGGTCTGAACGCGGCAGGATCTGAGTGTAGATAAAGCCCCTTCGCTTCCCGTGGCTAAGGGTCTGAAAGCAAATCCTATGTTCCCCTGGCCAAACCACCGAACCACAACTGTGGCCACAGGAGAGGCGGAGAACTTTCGGTGGGAGAGAGGACTGTGTTCAGAATGACACTGATGGGCAAATTTCCATAGACCACCAAGCTTATGAATAGTCAGGTGACGTCATGGCCCACAGGGGCCACACTGAGCTATTTTCCTCCCAGTCTGGGGGGGCTGCTAACTGCCTGCCGCTTCTCACTGTGTGAAGTAGAGCCTAACAGACAATCCCACATACGAATACAGATATATGCCAATAGCACCAGGTTGGGCAGAGCAGGTCCTAGAGGAGGTCACCCAAGGTAGGACAACCTTACGGGGAGCTGTGCTAACCAACAGAACTTCCTGCAATGTTCTCTTTCTGTCTAACATGGGGGGGCACGAGCCACCCAGGGCCACTGGGCCCTTGACTGCATTTAACTTCAATTGATTGACATTAAATTGATTTAAATACCTTTAATGCATCATGCACTTTAAAAATAGACATCTTCAAAAACAGAGCTGTGCCATCAGCTACAGAAAAAGACAAACAAAAGCTTCATCTCAGCAAATACAAAAGCTGAGGCTCTCTCCAAAATAATCCCAACTGCAGATTTTCAATTCCACTTTCCTCAGGTAATGGGTTAAATATGAAAAGTACAGGTCTGTTCTGGAGCGTGTGGGGAATGCAGTGGAGTGAGTCTTAGTTGCACGGGGCCTGGGAGACCACCTCGCCCAGGTGAGAAGCCAGGAAAGAGGGAAACCGAGGCAAGAAGTGTGCAAAGGTATGCAGGCCAGTCTGTGAGCAGAGTGTGGTCAGCTCTAGGTTGAGGAATTGGGGGACAGAATGTTCTTTACTGGGATTCCTGGAATCACTGGTCGCCAATCTGCTCCTTGGGATGCTATGTTCTGTGCCTTCTTTTTGGTTTCATTAGATTTCAGTCAAGTTGAAAGCAACAAAGAAAAAGAGATCACGATTTAGGAAAAGTGGACCAGGCAACAAGGGCTGGGGTGAAGGTAAAGAGCCCCGAGGAAAAGCTAAATTCAGAAGGGACCGAGCTCCACAACATTTACACAGCCATCCACTCCCATCTTATTCAGGGGACTTTCTCTCAAAAGCTCTCTCCTCGGAGAATCTGGTATTGCATCAAACTATGGAAACAGAGCCCAAATATAAAAGCTCTGGGTAGTTTGTCCTGCGGTGTGTCCATCGCACCATCCAAATCTGATATCTATTCAGCATCTCCAATTTAGGTGCAGGGTCATAGAGAAAGGGAAGGAGGGAACCGGCAAGCAGACAAGGTGCTCACCTCCCAGGGCTGTGGTCTGACCGAGGATCAAAGGAGTGGGCTCCCCCGGTTTGCAGGGACATGACCAGCCAGGGTCACCGCCAACAACTAGAGGGAGTGTTAGCCTCCTGGAAAACCCCTTCCCAGCCTTGTTCTTGAAACCCAAACAGGAAACAAGTCAGACTGGGGCTCAACAAAAGACTGCGGGGAAATAATATGAAAAATATAAAAATGCCACAGCTCGCAGAGAGAGAAACCCTTTTTCAGGTCACAGGTACTGAACGGCACCAGGAGAATAATAAGCCTGCAAAGAGCCAGCAGCACCACGCGGGCAATCGGGGAATTCTGGAATGCACTCGTGCGGCCGAAGTAGCACCTGCTTGCTTAAGGTCAGAAAAAATAATGTATAAATAGCATCTTCCCAACAGCTGAGGTTCCAACTGAAGACAGGTGCAGAGGGATGGATAACAGTCAATCTTTCTCACATAGCTAAGAGGCCAGTGGCTGGACGCAGGAGCCCGCAGCTCGAACCCGGATCCAGGCTGTGAAATGAGAGGCCGCCCACACAGACGCAAGCCCAGCCCCGCCTCTGGGTGGGAAGGGGGCTGCGGGGCCGCAGGGGACCCACCATGGGGAACAGGCCGAGCGAGTGGTAGCGCCGGGACGTGGTGTTGGGCACGGTCTTGTTCCGGAGGTTCTTGAGCTCCTCCTGCGCCTCGTGGAGCATCTCCATGCACTCGGCATACTTGTCCTCCAGCTCGCGCAGCTGCAGGGGGCAGGGACACGTCTCGTGAACACTGGGGACATGCCGCTACACCCGCACAGCCAGAAAGACCCGGGCACACTCACAGAGAATCCTCAGAGTTGTGTGTTTTTTTTTACGTGGAACACACTTACAGACTCAGAAATCTCCCAAAACTCTAACCAGGGGCAACTGAGATTAAGCACATCTTTAACCTGGGAGAGTGAATCGTGACACCCTCGTCTCCAGGGTGACTTTGAATGGGCTCCCATCATGTGGTGCGCTCTGTGTCATCTCTCACTGGACCATCTGTCGAGCGCCCATGCACACCTGGCCCCGGGGACGGGGGCGTCCAGGAGGGTGTAGAGCCCACCTCCCAGGTGCTCACAACCAGTAACTACATCAGCGGGAATCAGCGTAGGACTGAAAATAACCTTCAAGTCAATAAAAAAATGGTTGTTGAGGAGAGGCCGATGCCCCCTAACTGGCATTGAGGCCCCGATGAAATGAGGGGAGCCGCTTACCTCGGCCGTGAGCTGCCGCTGGGCATCCTTCGCGGCCCCCAGGTGCTGGACCAGCTCCTCATTTTCAACTGCGCACTGAAACGGCACCGGGCGGTCAGCTTCTCTCAGGACACCCAGAAAGGCCTGACTGTCCCCGCTAATGACTGATCCGTGGGGATCCTACGCTTCTACAGTGACTTTTATCTTACGGAGGAGGAAATTTCCGTCTGTTATGTAATTTTGAAGGCTGTCTTCCCTCTCTCCATATGCATTCTCTGTGGCCCACCCTTACCCCACCCCATAGTCGGCTGCTGCCCGGATGCGCTTCACTCCCAGGCTTCCAGCAAAAGCCAAACATGAAAACCAAACTGTCTTCTGGCTGCTTCATCTTATATCTAAAGGGGGAGCTGTTCAGCTGCAGAACATACCAGATGCTGGTGTAAAACCAAATACGAGACTAGATGATTCATAAGTTAAATTCCCAAACTCCTGGTCTATGGCACCTTTCTTAGTGAATCCTATTAATTTAAAGGTATTCTTAGGAGAAAAGTGATGATAAATAGTATACTGTTGAATCCACTAAGCCTTTTCTCCAAAGGGCAGCTACTCCTAAACTATGAAACTAAAGGATGCTGTCTCCTAGGGTAGACACCCCTTCTCGATCTCAGCATGGCCCCCCTATGTCGGCCAGAGAACCAGCAGCCTTACAGCTTTGGCCTTCTTCTGCAGGTCGACGATCTGAGACAGCAGGTGCGTGATCTCCTCCTGTTGGCGGGCAGTATCTTCGGTCTTCTTGGCCAGTTCCTCTGAGATGCTGGCAATCTGCACGTTGGCATCCCCTTAGACCAGGAAACAACAATCACAGGCTGAGTCAGCAAACCCCACAGGCACATGAGAAAACGGTCTCTTTGTGGTTTGTACAAGAAAAAGCACCTCTATTACTAGACAGGGTTGGGGGTGGAGGGGTGGAGAGCTAAGAGGCCACATGAAGATGGAACTCAGAGCACCCAGTTTTGCTCTACGGTGAAGCAAAGCAGAGCATCTTCCTCTGGCTCTGTCCGACGTGAGGAGGAACCTGGCCCCCGGCTGTGGTTCTCCAAGCTCAGGGTGAGGGCCCAACCCCCTGAGCAAGGCTGCCTCCCCAGAGGAGACCAGGCAGGCCTTGGGAGCCAGCCAGGAGGTGCCACACCAACAAAAAGGTGCGTCTGACTGAAGGCCACTTTCCACCCATGAACAAATCCATACATTACCAGGGACTCCCGCTGGCCCTGTTCTAGAAAGGAAATACGGCCGTGCACGACACAATCCCCGTGGGCGTTTCCCACCGACATTCGGAGCCATAACTCATTTTACTAGATCTGAATAGAGGGTGTGTTTCGTTTACTTAGTATTTTGCTGAAACTCGAACTAGCCTGTGTATCGCTTTGCCTAATCTTAACTTGTAAACTTATAATGGAGAGGGTACAAAGAACTAGTCTCAACTTTCACAAATCAGATGACTAGAAAACAGCTTTTTGTACATTTTCAATACGGGGCTCTGAAGCTACACCTAACTAAGGCATTAAATAATCCCAACAGTCCAGTAGGAAGCAAAATTAAAAGTAAATACCCATCTCAGCAAGAAACTGAGACAATGTATGACTGACAACCTGGGCTCCAATTTCTCACAAATCGGAGTGAGGGGTGCCACACACGATCAGGGAGACCTCTAGTTTTAAGGAAAATGCTACTGAGCGCCGGCTGGCAGGGAAACTGCACTTCATCAGGGGATGCGAATCTGTCTGCTCATAATGATGGCAGGTGCAGAAAGTAAAAAGAGGAACAGGAGTGGGGCACGGGCCAGGGACATACTCAGCTCCTTCACACAGTCATTGACCAGCTGCTGCTCCTTCTCTTCGTAGGTGATGGTCTCTGTCTTCAGCTGGCAGGCCTGTGGACAAGACCAGGTGAGAGGTTCTATATTCACGCCTGGATGGCTGGGGCAGGCAAGGCTGGGGCATGGAGCAAGGGCTCACCTGGTTCTGGGAAGTCACCCTTCAGCATTTCCCCACCTGTCACCCACTGTACCCTCAAATACAGAAAGCCAATCTGAATCCCCAGCTTAGTGGATGAGTCTCAGATTTCCAAAGCTGGAATATGTACCGCTAGAGGGTGCCACACAAAGCCTTGCACACAAGAGCTATACACCCCGCTTCACTAAAACTCTGTGAGAGCCATCCTCGTGTCCAATCTGTCTGTTCATTTGTGTCTGTCCTGGCTGCACCGTACCTCTGGCTAGAGAGCATAAGCGCACTGACACCCAAGACAGAAAGTTCTAAATTTGCATGAATCAGTGTTTCTAGATGGGGACAGGGGTGGGGGGAAACAGTGTGGGGTTTGGAGTCAGGGAAACTTGCAAATCCTGGCTTTGTCGCTCACTAACATGCACAACCTTGGGAAGTCAAAGCACTTAGCAGCCTGGGTCGCGGGCTTCCCACTGGAAGTCACCAGCTTCCAGCTTTGTTGTGAAGATTTAAAAAAATAATGCAGGCAAAGTCCCCAACACACAGGCCAGTCGATCAGAGATACTCAAAAGCATAAGTTCCCAAGCTGCCTCTGCTCAACCTGAAGTTAACTGTCTACGAAATATGTCTCCAAGTTCTCGGGTACCAGTTCCTCGGATGCTGTTTCCTGTCACCTGTGGTGCCATGGAAATGAGGCCTTCGCACTAGGCCTCCACATCATGCCTGTCAGAGCTGGAGAACACCAAGGAAAGACCCCACTGCGGGGGCTTCTGCCCTAACTGTGAAGGGGCACAGGCTGCCACCCTGGCCAGTCCCCACACTGAATAATTCACTGGCTGGTCCGCCCCAGCCCTGGGAAGCAACGCCCAGCACATAAATGAGCCAAGGTTCAGGCAGTTCGTCCAGACTGTCACCTTTGAGAATGGCAGATAAGGTGAGCAGGGCCACCACCCCTCCAGAGGGGACAAGAGCAGAGTGCGTCCCTTACCTCGGATCGAAGTACAACGTTCTCCTCTTCGAGGTCCTTCAGCTTCTTCTGAAGAGAATCCAGGTGAAAGTAATTCTGAACTGAGGACGATGGCTCACTCCTCTTCAACCTGGGGAGAAGGCACGGTCACTTTCTAGGGAGAGAGACCACCCTCCCACCCCCACGCACACCACGGGGAGGCCCCGAGGCCCGTCTGCAGGGGAGTCAGGAGACACACAGGTGTGACAATGACCCATCTGGTTGCTCCCACACCCCCAGGACAATGGCACCTGCCAATGCACAGGTTCGCTCCCACTTCAGACTCACATCCCAACCCCTGTTCACAATTTGAAGTTGCCACGTTGCCTCAATTCAGGGGAATCAAATCTACTTTCAGGGGAATCAAATCTACTTGAAGACTGCACAATTCCAGAATGCCTGGGAGTTTAATATGTATAATGCGCTTCTCTATGCCAACAACTGTTTTAAATACACTTCACTCACTTAATGCTCACAACCCTATGACTTAAGTGCAATTACTACCCCCATTTTACAAACGAGGAAACAAGCACAGAGAGGTTAAGTAACTGAGCCAAGAGCACACAGCTAGTAAACCACAGAGTCGAGAACTGAACTCAGGCCATCAGGCTCCTGAGTTCATGCCACTAACCCCAGGCTCTGCTAACTCACAGAGAAGCCCCCACACCTCCTATCCCCCAGGCCCCCCCACAGCACCTCAGGCTCCAGGACCCTGCAGTTCCTCTAACAGCAGACGCCACCCCGTTACTCACTGACATGCCAGACCAAGAAGACCCAGTAAGAGAAAGAGGCAAAGCCTCTCCTTCTACGTCTCACTAAAATGGTGAAATCAGTCTGTTTGAGACACTCGGAGGTGCCTGGCCTGGAGATGCTGGGAGGCTGACCTGCGCTGCTGGGGACGGCGACCCTGCCTAGGCAACTCCAAGGACATGGCCAGCAGCCAGCCCGTGCCTGGCCCCCGGCCGTGCGCCCTCTGGGACTTACGGGGTCGAGCACACGGACTCGGGCTCGCTCTCCTCCGCGGCGCTGGTGTAGAACTGGAGCAGCTCATCCTTCATGGACAGCTCATGCCGGAGCTGAGACACCTGCACCAACAGAGCCGGGGCCCGTCACTCACGCCCCAACCGCGACAGTGCTCAGTGACAACATTTAAAAAATTCCTCCTTCAAAGTGAAGGCCTGTAATTGATTTTGTGCTAGTCAAAGAAAACAAACAGTTGAGTTTTACCCCATTTAAGAAAAACACAGGGAATTACTTTTTGGCAAAAAAAATCCCTCTGCCTCAATTTGTAATTTTTACTTTGATAAAGAGAAGAGGTGAGAGGGGACTAGAAGGTTCTAGAATGGTGTTTGGGGCACAAGATAGCATCTGGGCTTTGCAAGTAGCTGGGCAAATGCCCAGAGACGTGGATCATGTCACCAAGTGAAAGATGAGGCCCAGCTGTGGGTCGGAGACACAGTGAACGGGGGCTGCAGGGTGGCGGCGTTCGGTGGGTGTCGAGGGGGCCGCTCCAGAACACTCCAGGCGGCTCCGGGCTTGGGACCGGGCCCGGGCCTGGGATGAGCCCCCGAGAGGGCCTTTCCGAACGGGGCCGCTACAGCGCCCTCGGGCCAGCTCACCTCCTCCCGGACGTGCTCCACCTGCTCCTCCAGCAGCTCGTTCCTCTCGCTCAGGGTCTTGTTCTTCTTCAGCAGCGACTGGCCAATCCGAGCAGCCAACTCTAAATCCCGCTCTTTCTGTGAAAGGCAGGGGGAGAGCAGAGGCTCAGGAACGGCTCAGGCTTCCCGAAGGAGCCAGGGAATCCAGTGCCAGCGCAGGGAAGCAGGGGCACTGAGCCACAACCGAGGGATCACTAATTCACATCCATTCACCAGCATCTGGTCCCGGTTCAAAGGGGTGTACGCTCTGCCCACGCAACGTGCAGGAGCCATGCAGGCCGCCGGCAATGAAAGGAAACCTTAGCGCCCGAGGAAAACAAATCTCTCTTCCAACAGGAAAAAACCTGCTTCCAAAAACATTTTTCTGCCACTGCTTTTGGTATTTGTGTAGTCATTTGATAGCCGGTCCCTCCCGGAGACCTGAGGGCTGGGCTCCTGTATTGCCAGGCACCAGGCACATGGAAACAGTGACCATTTGCGAGACGAATGAATGAATGAGCCGAAATTCCAAAGCGCTCCTACGATAAAGCCAAGAGCAGACACAGGGAGGCAGCTCTTCTACACCTTAAGCTGGAACTGACGGAGTTCCTTGTATTTGCCTCACATGCATAAAATTGCCCTAATTTAGAATCAAAGGTGTTACAGACACAGATTTTTCTTAGTTTAGCTGATGACAACGCTCAGAGCAGAGCAGGATACCGAGGAAAATCTTGAGTGGCAGACAAAGATTCAGCTGCCTGTATGGGAGGAAAGCTGTCCCGACAGTAGAGACCGTGGGGCAGTTGCCATCACCAAGCGCAGACTCCCTGAGCCCGCCGGAGGGACTGTTTGCCACTATGGTTAGACCCCAACTTGCTCACATTTAGGTGGGGCTGGCAAGGGAGTAGAACTCTGGAAACTAAATTATTTTAGAAGCCTATGCTAATTATTCTGTTCACCTGGCATAAAAAGCAGACAAATGGGAACATGCAGCTGTTAAGAAACATAACATAAACGGAGCCACTTTAAAACGGAGAGGGGACTGCCATCCCGGAGGAACTGCCTTGCACCTCTTATGCCTCAAACCTCTGAATTGTTCAAACAGGGCACAATAACCTTCAGTATGAGCCTAGGTAACCTTGTGTCCCAAAGAACTGTTTACAAGGAAAACAAGAAAGCAGATATTATGACCACTAGACTGATGGCTACTGGACTGAAAAATCAAAAACATTCTTTAGAATAAACATCACTGTGTTAGCTTTTCTGCACGAGCAGAAATGCCTTCCTTCTATTGATGGAACTACTCCCATTTCTCATAAATACTCCCTGCCTCTGTTTCCTAAATTGGAACATTATTTATTTGGGTTTCTGCCTGAATCAATGCTTCCCAAATAGCTATTCTTTTTTTTTTTTTTTTAATCTCAAATAAACGCTTACTGCCTCTCCCTTTGAAAACCCTTTTATTTTTAGGTTAACACAGTTAAGGTCAGAAAAAAAAATGCTGGGGAGGAGTCATAGCTTCTGGTCGTCTATTAACTAACTACATGGCCTTAGGTCAATCTCCTCCGCTCAACGAGGACCGGGTACACTCTAGGTTAGTTTTCTCCAAAGACAGGTAATAACTTTTCAGCAGGTTGAGCATCAACTTAGCACTGACGACTGACATTTCGGTTTAAATGAAATTCAACAGCACAGAACTGAAATACCAAAATGCCTTCCACGTAGTAAGAGTACAATTTCACATTTAAACTTTTGCTTGTCATATATTTATGTGAGCACTGGGTCACAGCCTAAGGTGTGTTTCTTACAGCAGGTACTGGTCCAAAGTTTACCTGCTCCAGGTGAGCTGTTCTATTCTGAAACTGAGAGAGGTCAGGCTCTGATGGGACATCCCTGGGCCCGGTTCCCTGGTCTGTCAGGTGGAGGAGGGAGGAGGGGCAGACTAGCTGAGATACCCTTGAAAAAACCTTCTGGCTTAATGATTCATTGACTTGTACGATTAAAAACACACATCAGCAGCTTCTATTTTTAACTTCTTACACATCCCCCGAACTACTCCCTGCACCAGCAACGCGCCTTCCCTTTGTTTATCACAGGCGTTCCACTGAATTACTGCAGGTCAGAGTGTAACTTGGGAGGACCTGGATTTGGCAGGGCTCTGGCCCTCCCTCCCCCAGGTCTTCGACAGTGCTAACACCTGTAACTGCTCCACTGGCCCAGAAGCCAGCCGGCTGTCACGTCCAGTGAGCCATAAATACCTCCAGCTCATTCCTACAATCTGTGCCTCCCCAGCACACCCTCCCAGGGAACAAAGGTGGCCAGTGAGTCTGCCCACTCAACCAGGATGCTTGTCTCTGTGTACCACCCTCCTCAGCGACAGTGCCTAGCAAGGAGGGGCCTATCTCAGTGGCACTTTATCGCTCCTGGGACTCAACAGTTGTGCTTGTTTGGTACCTGGAGGGATGGACGCAAAGGAACTGTGTGAGGAAGCTTGCACACCTCCCTGTCTGGGGGCGGTAGCCCAAGTGGTTGCAGCTGGCTAACCCTCAGAACTGCGACACCAAATCCATTTCCCTCTGGAAGTGTGGTCTCCACCAGGCTCACTCGAGTCGACTCAAGTTCGCTGCTAAAGCAAGTTCTCAGAGTGAGTGCCCAGCACGTGCTTAATGCTCAGCAGCTCACTGCCTCACTGTTCTGCGTCTGCATCATGCAACTATGTGGGTTCAGAACGAGTCGCCCCAAGATGTGCCTCTGTGGTATGTAGATTGTTTTAAGCTCAAGGTAACTCTGCCGCCTCCTTAAAGACCTAGAATTTATATCAGGGCATCGCCCATAGTAAGAGATTATGAAAGATCACCTCTTTTGACCTATCTAAAGTGCAGGACAGCCCTGGCAGTTTGGCTCAATGGTTAGAGCATCGGCCTGAGCACTGAAAGGTTGGGGTTCGATCCCTGGCCCTGGACGGGGCACGTGCGGGAGGCTACCAATCGATGTGTCTCTCTCACATCAATGTCTGTCTGTCTCTCTCTGCCTCCTTACCTTCTACCCTCTCTAAAAATCAATGGAAAAATACCCTCAGGTGAAGATTAAGAAACAAACAAAAAGAACAGTTTCTTTTAGTCCCCGGGACAGGCGGCCAGGTGGAGCTCATTCTAACAGCTCACTCCCTCTCCACAGACATGCTTTGTTTAAAAAGACTATGACTTGTGTCTCAGCCCCTTTAACCAATGAACACAACCCTGGAGCTGGAGAGCAGCCTGCCTCCCACACTTAGCAGCTAACTCATCTCATTCACCAATTTTAGGGTAACGAGAGTGACTAAGGAGCCCTCGGAGTCACCCTCTCTCTCCAACTGGGGAGGAGGCAGCTCTGCCCAGAGGTGAATTCCGGACAGCAGCAAGCAGGGCAAGCTGCCGAGCCCTCTGCCCCGCAACCCAGAAGCAAACTCTCCACGCTGGCTGTGCATCGGCGCCCTGTACAGATCCCCCAGGACCCCACCTGCGTGTGGCAAGTGTGCAGACCAAAGCAAATGATCATGATGGAAGGAAGCAGAACCAAAGCCAAGAAAAGCACAGGACAAGGGTCACATGCCTGGGGCAGTCAGCCGGTCACCAGGAAACCAGCCTCTTCCAAAGAAAGGCAGTGACTCAGAGGCGACTTGTCAGGACGAGGGGAAGAATGTCACATACAAAACACACAGACACACACTGACCAACCCAACTAGACCAACCCACGATGAGCCACTAAAAATAAAACCAAGGTGGCACAACACAGAGCCACCCGAACAAGGGCCCCACAAGCATTCTTTTCAGTAACTCAATTATTTTAAAAGACAATGCATTCTCTTTATACACTGACACACCCTTAAATTAGCTGGGGTGGGGTAGTGAACTACTTTTAACCAGCATCTGCCTAAGGGCTGGAGCCCCAGGCTTCTTGGGAAGAGATCCCTGCTGGTCCGAGCGGGCCGACGTCGCCTGTGCCGGCATCACCCCCAGCACTGCCATCTCAAACTCCGTGGGCACTCACAGAGGCAGCACACCGTAACAAACACTACCCGGTTCATTTTTTTATTTGTTTTTTATTAATCCTCACCTGAGGATATTTTTTCCATTGATTTTTTTTAGACAGCGGAAGGGAGGAAGGGGGGAGAGGGAGAGAAACGTCAATGTGAGAGAGGCATATTGATTGGCTGCCTCCTGAACTCACCCTGATTGCGGTGGGGATCGAACCTGCAACCCAGGTACATGCCCTTGACCAGAAATTGAACCCACTGCCCTTCCAGTCACGGGCTGATGGTCTAACCGCTGAACCACACCAGCCAGGGCCCAGGTTCATGTTTTTAAAAGTAAAAATGTTCCACTGACAATCAATGAACCGTATTCCCCAAAACTAAATACGCAGGGCAATACACACTTACCTCCTCAAGAAGCCGAGTGACAGCATCGATGTCATTATATGTCTTAGTCATCTGGCCAACTCTTTCAGCACATAAAACTGCAAGAAATAAAAATGACAATGAATCCGACAAGAAATAACAAGTGTTGGCAAGGATGTAGAGAAAAAGGAGGCCTGGTACATTGCTGGTGGGAACGTAAATTGGTGCAGCCGCTACAGGAAATAGTATGCAGGTTCCTCAGCAATTAAGATTATAGCTACCGTGTGACTCAGCAATCCCTCTTCTGGATTCCTACCCGAAAAACTTGAAAACACTTATTCTTACAGACATATGTGCCCCTATGTTCATCGGAGCATTATTTGCAGTAGCCAAGACATGGAAATAACCTAAATGTCCTTTGACAGATGACTGGATAAAGAGGATGTGGTATATACACAGTGGAATACTACTCGGCCATGAAAAAGGGGAAATGCTGTCATTTGTGACAACATGGATAGATCTTCAGAGTATCACACTAAATAAGTCAGAAAAGGACAAGAACCATATGATTTCACTTTCATGTGAAATATAAAACAAAAAGCAACAAATGAACAAACAAAACAAACAAACTCATAGATACAGACAATAGAACGGTAGTTTCCAGAGGGGAAAGGAGTGGGGGGAGGAAAAAGAGGGTAAAGGGGGGAGCCAAACACATGGTGACAGAAGGAGACTAGACTTTGGGTAGTGAGCACATATGGAATATACAGATGATGTATTATAAAGTTGTATACCTCAAATTTATATAATGTTAAAGTTACCGCAATAAATTTAATTTTAAAAAAGAGAAAAAATTACAATGACATTACCAATGCCACAAACCTGCCAAACAAATGACCCATCTAAAAAAAAAAAGCAGCTTCAAAACTGTGCCTGGATATTAGGCACAAAGGGTGGTTGGTTTTGCCAAGTTCAACCCACACAACACTCAGAACCACCTGGTTTCATTTCCCAGTTCTAGGGAAGAGCCCGATGCTGAGGGGGTGAGAGAGTAGGAGCTCTAAACCTTGCAAAGCCTGACACTGTATGACATACTCAGAGGTGGTGCTGGGGGCAAGGCACTAGGCAGACAGTGATCTGGCCTCATACAAACTCAGCAAGCTAAAATGGGTCAGCAGCACAGCCACCAAATTATCAGAAAGACCAACAGGATCTAGACCTCACTAATTATAGAGACCCAACAACGTGGACAGGGAGGGATCCTTCAGAAAGCAGCAATTGATATAATCATTAAACAACAGTAGTAGCTGGTAATTTCATAATGGCACAGCTCCCACCCTCCCCAAATGGCCTAAATTCCCCACCCTCCCCAAATGGCCTAAATTCTAAGGCTATGCAGCCAGTTTCCATATCATGAAAAGTAGGGGGAAAGAGTTTTTTAATCCATGCCAAAAGGACCTCTACTATTACTGTGACACAGGTTACTCTCTCTGACTCTTTAATTTCAGCCTGCATTTCTCCCATGGCCTTCAGGAGAATAGTTCCTGCTATAGATGTGCTAATTATAGAGGAATTCTGCTTGAGGCTGAGCTTTCTGCAATGATTTGCAGGAGCCTCAAGACCAGTCTCAGACCAGCAGGGGACAATGGACCAGGGAACTAAGAGATTTAGAGATTCCACACTCTTCCTTGGATCCGTTGGTGCCAAGGTGTCACACACCTCTTGTACTGCCCACGCTCCCTTCCCTGGACATAAAAGAAGCCTGAATTCTGGGCTGTCTTAAGATGGATTTGCAGAAGCTTCAAGGCAACTCCCATCTTCTTGAGCTGGAGCCTTCTTGATCAACAAACCTTCCCTTATTCCAAACTCTGATGTTTTGAATGCTGGCCTTTATGAAGCGTCAGGCACATGAGCCTTGAACCAGTAAAACACACACACACACACACACAGAGCGATATTTCACTACGTGTATAATTTACTGCGCTCATAAAAGGCTGCATACAGGCCACTTTAGGATTGTGCCTCTGTTCTCCCTTCCACTGGAGAAAATCCTTGCGCGATGAAAGAAGACTTGAGTCTGCTGAAAAATCTTGGGGCTGTTTTATTTTAAATCAATGGCAAGGAACTGATTTGTAGTTCTACAAACACCAAGGTAGCATGGGTTTCACTGGGTGGAGGAAGGATGAACGCAAACTGATTTAGGGCCAAAGTATAAACTTTTTTGAAACCCTCCACTTTGGGGCTAAATAACAACTTCTTAGTAACTCTTCTTAACTAAGATTCTGGAGAGTTCGGCTTTGTAACAGCCCACAGGAGGCATCTGGGAACTGAAGTGTGTAACTATACCAAACTCAGGGGCATTACCAACGGCAGGCTGCAAGTGTAACGTGATAGTTCTCTAAATATTTCATTAAATGCAAGTAGAGATCATCTTGGGGAAGGAGCTGAGAGAAATCTGATCTGCTGGAATGATTTTCTAGCTTAAGAAGGTGACCTAAAATCTGGTTCCAAATCTGAAACCCAAGTAACACAGAGCCCTGGGAGTGAGGAGAGGGGGCCCCTCTTCCCTGCCTCTCCCCCGACCTGTGCTTTATGGCAGGAAACCTCACGCCTGCTGCAGGACGTGCCAGCTCGGGCACTCTCCTTCCCTCACCCCCTCAGAGATGCCAGGTCGGAAAAGGCAAGGGGTGTGTATAAGGGCTGGTTTAAACCAGAACTGAACTCGATGGAGGTGGAGTCCAGCTCATATTGCTGTAAATAGTTCATCAGCCTGAGGTCAGGAGAAATCCTTAAGTGCATACTCCTAGGCCTAGGACAGGAGTTAGTTTTCAAGCTGCACATGTGCCACGTTCTGCCCCAGAGCAGGTAAGACCCGGCGCCCCCAGCTGGCTGGCGGGCCAGACAGCATCTGCGCGCCCCTGCCATCAACAGAACGGACGCCGCAGCCACCACAGGCCTCTGCCCTGAAACCAGCCCCCCGCGCTCTCGAAGGACCGAGTCCTCTGATGTCCAGGGACCGAGTCCTCTGATGTCCAGGGAGCAAAGAGAACTGGGCTACACTATGACTCACCTGCCCTACGTCACCCTAACACAGGGAACAGGAGTCAGAGCTGGGGTTCTATTAATCAGAAATTACATTTTTTTAAGCTAACTTTTGGATGTAAGAAGTGATACCTATAGCCTTTACCCAACTCCCCCCGGTGGTCACATTTTGTAAAGTTCTATCACAGCCGAGGTACTGACACTGACACAGTCCACAATCTTATTCAGATTCCCGAGTTTCACCTGTGCGTGTGCACGTGTGTGTGTGCACGCATGTGTGAGTATTAAGCCCTATTCAATTTTGTCTCCTGTGTAGGTTTGTACATCCAGTACCATAAGGATCCCTCATGGTGCCCTTTTATAAAGCTAATTATAAAAAGCTTTAACAACCCCTAAAAATGTACATTTGGGCCGGTGGTTTTTTCCAGCATTAACCAGTCAGGCACCTATTGTCACCACACACACAGTGTCAGGAGGCCAGGTGAGCCCTTTCACGTCCAATCAGGCTGCAGAGGAATGCAGGGACTTCCCAGAGTCCCAAGGCCTTTGACAGAGCCTAGCTATGCAAGTCAGAGGCATAAGTGAAAAACTAATATTGACTCTGGGCTATACAAGTATGCGCACTGTTATTCTAGGTCTGTTTTTAAAAACAAATAATCCAAATTGGGGGAGGGGGAACGTACAGATTTATAATACACAGAAATATTAGGATAGCCATAAAATATTGACATTTGGATGGAATTACACAAATTTTCATTCTTTTGTGTGTGTGTGTATGCTTAATGTTTTATTTTTATTTTTTATAGTGACCATGCACTGATGGGGGAAAAAATTACTTAAAATATTCTTGTAGAAAATATACAATTGGATACAATATAAGGTCCTCCCTAGGTTATTATTATTTTTAATTGATTTCGGAGAGAGGGAGGGAGAGGGAGAGAGAGACAGAAGCAGCAATGATGAGTCACTGATCGGCTGCCTTCTGCACGTCCCCTACTAGGGATGGAGCCCACAACCCAGGCATGTGCCCTGACTAGGAATGGAACTGTGACCTCCTGGTTCATGGATCAATGCCCAACCACTGAGCAACACTGGCCAGGCCCTGAGGTTACTTTTAAGAGAAATTAGTAATGGTAGCAGCAGATCTTTCCTGAGCACACTCCCTATGAGCAGGCCTTGCTCATAGCCCTCTAAATGGATTATCTCATTTAATCCTCAGAGCACTAAATAGTACAGGGTAGGTGCTTACATTAACCCCATTTTACAAATGGGAAACTGAGGCCCAGAGAAGTTAAGTAACTTGTCCAATGTCACAGAGCTAGCAAATGGTGAATTTCAAAATAAGAAGAGATTCCCAGCATGGCCAGCAGATAATATTTATGGAGTCTGGGGATTTAATGTGCTTTCCCGGTTTCCCGATTTATCCCAGTAACAACTCTGCAGCACCTGCTTTACTTATAGGTCATTTCTGTAATCTATGAGAAGGTTGTTTTTCAATATTTTTAGAACCTGACCTCCAGTCTCCCCTCTCCATTAATTTCTCTGCCTATCATCTGCACCTCAGCATCAGTTTTTTTAAAAGTAAATTTTATTTTTTATAATTTCTATAAATTACATACATACTGAATAACTTTCACCATAGTCATGTACCCCCTAGAAATGCTGGGGTGCCTGCTCAAGACAGGAGCTGGGACTGGGTGTCGGAGCAAAACATGGTCCACAAACCAGTGAATCATTCCTTTTTGCTTTGACCAGCAGCAGCAGGAATCAGCAGAAAAAGCATCCCTACATCTGGCCCCTGATCCCGCAGGAGGCAAACCTCGTGAAAACTGGCTGCCCTGTTCAAAGGGACAAGGGGTGGAAGGCTCACAACCTGAGAGCCACAGCTAGAAAGCTTCCCATAAATTCTGAATGAGTCACCCCGATGCCACGTCTCTAGGCATTACAAGAGAGGTCCTTCAAAGCTCTGTCTCCACACTTTTGAACTGCATGTGTCTACACTCTGCTTAAAAACCGTCACCAGCTCTGCCACCGCCTACGGGCAGCAGCCTCAACACCTGGCACAGGAACCACTCTT